ACCAAAATGTCATAGAGGAAATGTCCACACTTTTCAAGACGATCGAAGAGTCATGAACACATTGCTATCCTCTGATAGTTTGGCGAACGGGGGAAATGGTACAGTCGTAGATGAAGGAATGTCATTGCTGCAGACATCGTCTACGGACAGACGTCTCATGGGGGTCCTCCTGGTGACGTTTAAAGAGGTGCGAATGGTGTGTGTTTGACCTGAAATGGTCGTTTTGTCTGGGAATTTTTAGTTCTGATTCTCTACAGGTACTAACTGAGGAACCATTTCCACCCTTGACATCAAAGAAGACCTTAGGGGTACTTTAACATTATTTCTGTATACATTGTGCGAAACTTACGAAACGAGATGGTGGTGAGGAAACGTTCAATACAAAAAGCTCTCTGTTCTTTACTAATCTTAACCATGATCACAACAGGCAAAGGAAACTTGAGAAAAACTATCTGCAAACTTCTGAGGGCCTGTTAGACTACTGTAGTATGCAATATGGCTCAAGCGTTGGGATTTTTGCCAGTGAGAGCTAGATGTTCAAAACCCTTATGTCTATTTATATGTCCCAAAAACTGCATTTGTCGTTTCCTGACTGTTTTTAACATTGAGCGTTCCACGTTGGCTTCATCAAGCACTACCTCATTTGAATTCTTTTCCTCCCACGATACTCTTAGCAGTCTCCGAAGAAACCACATTTCTGTTGCTTCTATTTTATTTTCACTGTAAAACCTCTACTAAAACTAAAAAGATATCACTACTCACCGCCGCCATTCTTGTAGCAGACGTAGGGAAAACGCCAGACGTTCCCAAGATCCACCGCGAATCCGATGACGGAGAGCAGGAAGTCGATCTTCTTGCCCCATGATTCTCTTTCCGGTTCCGGCTTGCTGGCTGGCTTGTCGATGAGCTTTGTGGGCGTGCCGTCCATGAGAGGGAGCTCAGGACCAGGGGTCATATTGACGTAATTCAACACGGGGGTCAAGTGTAACGCCGACGTTGTGAAGCTCTTCTCAAGCCGGAGGTGCAAAAGCTAAAAAAAAAAAAAAAAAAGCGCAGAGGGTCCGATACCACCAAACGTGTTACTTCTCTGCTGGAGAGCTCCTATTTCCTCCTCGACGAGTAAACGTGACGTTTTTCGCAAGTCAGTCAGTGGCTTAACAGTCTACTTCAACGTGTGAACTCTTCATAACCAGACAATGTTAATGCTATGTTCTGGGTATATTTTACTCAGAGTGTAATTCTATAGACTATGCTACTTGCTAGAGTTCTTTCAGCTAAGAAAAAGAAAAAACGTAGATCATCAATTACTACTTGTTTTCTCGAAAAACCAAGTGAAAGCTCTAACAGTTTAGTGTTCAAGAGTTGGAGCATGCCCTGTGCACTCAATCAAGGATGTTGCGAATCCCGAAAGTGTAGGCAGACAAGATTCTATATACTGGAAAAGACCTGGCTCAAACAAAAACTTTGACCTTCAGCTAAAACCGTGACATTTCTTTCGCTTAAAAACCGCGTGAAAATTTTTCACATAGCTCTCTCCACGTTCATCTAAACGTGGCCGATTCTGAATGAACCTCGACTGCTCAAGGTTACAAATAATGGAAAATGAACTCTAAACAGCAAATTACTGATAGAGACTACCCAGAGATATATTGACAACGCTATGGAAAACTGTGCGTCGTTTCAGTTTCATCGCAGTTTTTGTTTCACAAACTTTGACTGAAGCAAGGGTCAGAACGTTCATTTCATTTTTCTTAAAGTCCAGAAACTTCGAAACTTCCCTGTGCATGAGTGGATCGTCTGATATTTTTTTTAAAAACAGAACGCAAAGATCACGTCACGTCCGCT